TGTGTGTGTGTGTGTGTGTGTGTGTGTGTGTGTGTGTGTTGTCATATAAATAAAATTTTCCGACAAGAGTATTTTCATACTCTCATAATAGGACGAGACATTTGTTTCAAGAAATTTCATTAAAAATTTTTTCATTAAAATTTCATTAAAAGTTTCACTGTTGAATTACTATATACTGTAAATACCGCCTGAATCTCTCTCTAAAATTGATTTGATTGTGCTGTACTACTTTTAAAAGCGTATTATTATTAAGAAATTAAATAATCTAGAATTAAGGAAAATATTTTTTTTTTTTCTAATGGCACGAAGTAGCGATATTGAACTTTGATAATGTTTTACATTTTCATTCGGAAACTCAACTTATTATATGGTGCGTAATATCTTTTTTTTTATATCGTGTGATTGCCATTGCGTCTTATCTACTTTTACAACGTGCACACAATATTGAACATACACGCTTCATTGACATTATGATACTGGGTATACACTAACTTCGCATAGAATTTACAGCCGCTCCTTATTGTTCAACATTACTCGACATCACTCGAATATATATCTCTCGAAACATTTGCAACTTTGCAAACCAGACTAGAAGTTAGGAGCATGCGTAGTCACGATATCTCGTTACAGCCACGACTCGATCGCAAGCCCGACTTTACAAAGCAATAAATAATTCAATTGCTATACACTAAACTTAAAGTTGTTACGATAAAGGCAGTCAATGGATTCTAATTTTTTTCTAATTTTAATTTATAAAAAAGATACCACGGTTACGGAACTGTGAATACATGAGGAAATAACTTTGCGCGATTGTAATAATTCAAAAGCTTTAAAAACGTGCAATGTGTGCATTGTACGATTGCACGAATCGATTTGCAAACTTTGTACTTTCATAGTTCCGGAATCGAATCGAGAAAAAGGAATCGAGGCGAATGTCTGTAGTCGGGTACACCATATTGTATTTTCTCCATTTCAGGCCGCAATATCAGATAGATAAGCGTGGCATGGGCGGGCATCATGGGCATCGCGTGATGGTCAGAACATGCAATGGTCTCGAATTGCGAGACCCATCACTGTTCGTTGAGTCCTCGGCCTCGGAGCTGGTCGAGTCCTCGGTGCTTTTTCCTAGTGTCGACTCACGGGACGAACTGCATCCTCGGTGCGTGTCGCCGAGATTACTCTCGGGAGGCTCCAAATAACGTATATGTATCATTTGATGCAGAATAATGTCTAATTGATTTAATTATTATAATTTCAAACTCTATGGCCGGTATTCATGGTCGAATCTTATATTTAAGACTGTCTTAAGTACTGTCTGTAAGAGTTAAGTATTGTCTTGAGAGGTTATCAACCAATCACAGAGCCGCAGAGATGCATATTAGCATCTTAAGACATTACTTAAGACGGTCTTAAAATAAGTTTTTCTTCAATATTATTTATTAATCTCAATTAATTCTCTCAAGTTTTTAGAACACATTTATCTATGGTTTCCATCACCTTAATTTGCGATTTATATATATTACCTTCTTAGGGAGTTGGAAGCAGTAAATTTAGGAAGCACGTGCCGCATCCACGGTTCGCCAGCGGCAACGGCCGCGCCGCCGCCGCCGCCGCCGCAGCTTCCAACAGAGGAGAGTGTCGACGCTCTCTGTAACACGCTTCACCACTGGCATCACTGCCCAGAATTGTACAAGGCCATAGAAGGCATCCGCTTCATCGCCGATCATACGAAGAGGGAAGAGGATTCTACTAGAGTAATTATAATTTTGCATAATTTGCGCATAACATTGCAATACAGGACTCGGACCCACAATACAATATATTATAGAACGTATGCAATCCAAAAGAAAAGAATTTATAGAATTTATTCGAGAACAATTAAAAGATTACGCACGAAATTGAAGAATTCTCGAAATATTTTTTTTTTTTATTTTATATTCAGATGTTCTGTAAATTCTCATTAGATATTGTTTAATAAATATTGAGATTATTTAAAATTTTTAACGTATGTAAAGTACTATTTTTTAGCGATCTATGGAGAAAGGCTAATATATGGCACAACTTATAAAAATATATTTCTTTCTATAAGATTTTGTTAGAAAATTAAAGAGTGTATTATTGTATCTATTACAATGAAAATTGATAATCGATTATATATGTTTGCCTATTATGTTAGTAAAAATTATAACATATATTTATAAAAAATTCTATAAATACTTTATATTATCTTACGACCATATAAAAACAGCTACTTTAGTCAATTTTTTTATGTCTCTAGTCTAAAAAAATGACCATATTGTTTATTACAATATATACTATAACGTTTCTTTTTTGTACTACAAACTTTTTGTACTACAAACAAACTAAAAAATACAATTTGTATAAAAGCAATTTCACATATCCGGATTGTAAAATTCCTTTCTTTTTTGTAAAATTTGATTGTTATGAAATTGTATACTGAAATATTCGAATAATCATAATAATCCCTTTGTAAAATACAAACATATATGTAACGTTGAGTAACGAGTAAAGATCTCGTTATATAATGTCAATAGATTCGAAATAGCGGAAATTGTAATCTTTTTTTTTCTTTCTTCCAAAAAAAGGAAAACATATGCGACATATTTTACATATTCTTGATTGTCGACGATCGTAGGTCAAGGAAGATTGGAAGTACGTCGCGATGGTACTCGACAGACTATTCCTTTGGATCTTCACACTAGCCGTAGTCGTCGGCACGGCCGGGATTATATTGCAGGCGCCGACCTTGTATGACGATCGCATCCCCATCGACGTACGGCTCTCCGAAATCGCCTCCACCACTGCCAAGCCACACATCGTCACGAGCCTCTGAGGGACAATTACTAATTGCATTAATGCCGCGCGCGTAAATACACACATATACGCAACAACCTACTACCACTATTATTATTACATCGACACAGGCGACAAGAGTGAAATGTATTAACGTCCGAAAGACTGAAGCCTTCGCGAGATCTTCGACTTTTCCACGCGTGAGTGCGTGCGTGTCGTTCGACTCGTCGCGCCGCTGCCGAACGGAGAATTCTTATTATTATGGATTCGTTGATACTCAGACTTCTCATTTTTACTCGCTATATAAGGAAATGACTGGTTAATAAATTATATATATAAAAAAAAGGATGAAAGGATGAAAGGAGAACCGAAAGGGGAACCCGAGCAGCTAATGGCTTAAGGCGATGTGTATTTCTTGTTTGATCTCTTTCATATTCAATGTTTAAATTAATTCTAAGATTTCTACGGCTATGTAAGAAAACTAAAGTAATTTATTTTTCCCAATCGTAAATTTCTTCAAAATCTTGAGCTTGAATAGTAATTTAGTAATCCTATCGAATTTCTTTTTTTCTCCGTTAAGCCTAAAGCCATTTCATTGCTGTTTATAACGAAATAAGCGAAATACGCTTGTATATTAATTGTGGCCTATAGGAAATAGTGATTCGTTGTCACGCGTTGATTTTTCTCATCTTTCTAAGAATTCCCGAGCTACAGTGGAAAATGAGGGTGATAAAAGAAGAAGTGTGACACAATGAAGACCATGTCTCAACCATTTGCACGCCGATTGTTTGATTCCGTGTAGCACATGGACGGTGTAAGGAGTTCGTAACGTGTAGGTAATATAATCCGACCGATGAACGCGTGATAGATCTTCTTATTTCTCGAATTAAATCGAAAGAAAATTATTGCGTGGATAAAATTGCAATTACAAAACAAAATAAAAATTAGCTTGTTTTTAAAAAATTTATACGCGAAGATGTGCGGATTAATTATGACGTGAAATTACACAATCGTCATCGATTGAAGAATATGTAATAGTTTATACAAATCCAGATCAATTACTTGGGAGATAAATGAAGAGTCAAAAACAAAAAAAAAGTATAAATATAGGTTGTCCGAAAATACGTTGTTTTCGACTTATCGCCATTTTTATGTTGAAATTTGAAATTGCTTTGTTTTCGAATTTTTGTATTAAAATTAAAAGAAGAGATGGCCTTTATGAGTTTCATAACATAATTAAAAATCAAATAAAAGTTGCAGGTTGTTTTAGGATTATTATTCAGGATGCACAACTGTGAATGTTAAAGATGCTAAAAGGATTTGTCTTGTGTAGTGCTAAAGCAATTTATATTTAATTTTAATTATAAAACTCATAAAGATCATCTCTTCAAAAAGTTCGAAAGCAAAACAATTTGAAATTTCAGCATAAAAATGGCGATAACTCGAAAACAACGCACGTTTCTTTATGTTTATATCAATTTTTTTTGTTTTTGGGTCCCCAATCATCTCCCGAGCGATTGACCTTCACTTTTGAAGCACTCTGTATATTCTCATTTAAATTTATGCAATTATTTTCCGCTTTCGTCTAATCTATTTATTTTCTTTTAATATACACAAATTATTGATTTCCTTGAATTTTTAATATATGCCATTTATCTATAGCTGTTCGAGCCTGTTTGTTGCAAAAGAAGGAATGATTTCGGACAATTGATAGTATTTTCATCGCGATGCGTTCGAGTAATAAGAAGAGGTCACTTCATCACCGGGTACAGATGCGGCCTGTTTTCGCGACTATAGGAAAATTATAATGAAGTTTAATGAAAGAAATGAATATACATACAGTAGGTAAAAGGGAGGACAAAACACGTATATACTGTAGAATTAATTCAGAAAGATCTTAACACAGTGCGACTTCGTGCCAGTTGCGTTTGTAGAGACGCAACAATATCCATCACCCTATCCTCTGTCAATATATTAAAGGATACTCCGCACGAGACCCCAAGCAATAAATTAATATTCCAACACCTCGCTAGATCACTTTCGTACAAGAGATTCGCGAAGACAAGAAAGAGAGAGAGAGAGAGAGGGGGAAAAAAAAAGGGAAGTAGCGGCGCGAAAGACGCAAGTGGCACGAAATTGTACGAAGCCTGTTGCAGACTCAGGAACAAAATAAAAGGAATATTATATTTCCCAACACTCTCTCTACATCGAGCCTGTAACAATGGGGCCATATTTTCACAAAGAACGAAAGTGCGTGTTCTCTCATATTTAAAAAAGAAAAAGAAAAAGAAAAAGAAAAAAAAAGAAGAAGAAGTAAATAAAAAGTGAAATTCTAAATATCTGCATCGATTACACGGCGCAGAAAAATGGGTTGGGCCTAAGGAAAGAGAAAGGAAGTTTTAGAGGACTCAACTTTTATTGCTCATAAAATATATGTTTGTAATAAGAGTAACTTTCGTAATTGCATTTGTTCCAGCACCATTCCGCACCGGCCGAATACGGCGGGCATTTATTAAACGCGCGGAGGATTTGACGGGGATACTTGATACTATAACGATAACGAGAATTGTTTGACAGCGTTTCCCACCCACCCATGATTTTTCGTCGTCTTCCTACCCAGTGCCGTTAGATTTCAATTTTCGTTTCGTTAAGCTCGACGACGAGGTGCCGTCATCCTTGCCAAAAAAAAAAAAAAAGTATAAAAGGAAACGATAAATATTACGAAACGCGATAATTTATTATTAGTAAGGCACACATATAATCATGGATTATGGAGGTAGTAGATCGCCGTATTTGATACTTTGTACGTTTCGATATAATTTAGTACGAAAAAGAAAGACTCTTTAGAGCGTATCGGCGCGATTACAGAATTTTAATTATACGTATATAGATAGATAATTTACGTGGTGGATGTAATTTGTAAGTTTTATTAATCCTGCAATGTATCATTTTGGAATCGAAATATAATAATTTTGTTGATAAATAACATGTACGTATATAATGTGTCATTTTCTAAGTTGCTCATCAACTTACTTCAAGATGTACGAAAATTTCTCCGAAAATTTTCGTGCCTTTCATAAATAAAAACGATTACAACTACTATTGTGTAAAATTGTGGTTTTATCTTCTATCCGATACAGAAGAAGACGAATGTAATCAAAAAACAGCATCATTTATTTAATTAACAATTATTTTCGCAATTGCGTGACAAATTAACGTGACAAGGAAAAATTGTTCAATCATTATGACACACTAAAATGAATGTTACAAATGGTTTAAATTTCAGTTCAAATTTCGTTTGATCAGTGCTCATGTTGCATGCACATAATAAAAATTACGATTACATTTTATCAAAATAAGCGCAGTGATAATTAATATAAATTACATTTCTCTTTGGCAATATACATTTATATTGAAATAAATGAGTAACCCATCTATAAATATGATATAAAACAATATAAGCTACAAGATATTTTGTATCTATAAGATCGATTATATTTATCTAATAAATTATCGTTGTTTTTATTTATATGTTTATCAACAATTTAAACATGATAAGACAATATCTCTGCATCGTTCAGAACTGAAAGACATTGCATACGTGTATTTAAGACATATGATATATAATTTGAAAGATATACTGATTCTCTTCCTATAGAATATAAAAAAAATAATAAACAACATCAATCAAACAACATAAATAATACAAAACAATATTTCAATTTTAAGAATATCTTTGTTTCATTTATCAATTTTAAAATTTTAAAAATAAAATTGTATATCAGGCATGTTTCTAGCTTTCCCAAAATTACTGCAATAATAATTTCGTTGCTCCAAATTATGCAGCAATCTATCCGTATTATACATTACTGCCATAAACAAGGCCGTGTCAAATCCGTGTCAAATTACTATAATCGAATTTATCATATGACTCAGAATCAATTTGTTACTGTGAATTAATAACAATTTTTAATATCACCCATCAATATAAATACAAATTGCACGATAACATAATTTCATAATAATAGCATCACGTATCGCATCACATATCGTATATGTACAGCTTCGCAAATGAAACTTTATTACTTTGAGAATTTACGAGGATAATCGTATCAAGAAACGTGTATTCAATTTGATAATAGTCATTCCATAAATCGACGTCGCGTTTTATATCTATAACATGATAACTAACGTAATATTTATACGCTTTGAGTTATATTGAGTTATATGATCAACAAGCCGATTAACAACATTTCTATACATTTGATTTGAGAAAACATGACCCTATATTATTGAACCATCAGCTGTTGTCAAGATAACTAAATTATAAACGTGTAAATGATAATTTTCTATGTAAGCGGGTGTACATTTACGAAATTATGAAATAAACTTAATTTTTTTATAAAAATTGCAGTATATTGCAGCCTTTTTGTATTTGATTCCTAATCTTTCTCGTTGCATCAAAATCTAATCTATGCAACATACTTTGTTTTATTCTTTTTACTATTAATTTATGTACTAAAACATAACTATATCTCAATAGAGATTAGTACTCGTTGAGAATAATGCGTGCCATCAATGCAGTAAAAGACTCTAATCCTTAAAAAAATTCGTATATATTCGATGTTTTAAACATTACGATAACGAAATTTTTTCATTGTACAATTAAATTCGTTTGAAAAAGATTCATGTCTTTTATCATTGATATAAATTCTGTAAATGCTACTTTTCAGAAATATTTCAGTATAACTGTATAGCTAGTTTGTTCAGTATAGCTAGTTTTTCGCTAACTTGTCATTTACATGTGCTTCGAGTTCTTCAGTTTCTTCAGGTTTTTTCATTGATACATCTGTACCATTTTTAGTTTCACGAATCCTTCTAATTTTCTTTTTAATCGCCATTGCACCTATTTATATAATATATTATTAAGGTGATAAATTCATTCAACTGTCAAATAAAAAAATTTAGTTATAGAACTTACAAACAAGTGTTTGCCATAATTCGACTTTCTTAGCTGCTTTGCTATTAAATTTCCTCAAAGATTCTTTATGCCTTTTATGGATACCAGCTAATTTAATAGCTTCCTGCGTCGGTGGTGGAAATAAACAGATTTCAAGCCAATGTGTAGCTCTTGCATGCCCGATGAGTTTTAACCATACCTAATTATATACTTTCATTGTCATACATTACACGATATATACATGAAAAAAATTATCATTATATTTAACTAAAGATATATAAGCTGCATTCCAATATTCACTGTCATGTATTGAAAATATATAATTCGTATCACATATATTATAGATTGCCAACTAGCAGTAAATATCGAAACGCAGATGTAGAATATTCTTCCCTACCGAATGTAAACATTCTACTGCAAACCAAAGCCACAAGCCAGGTTCTGTTCTTGTGTATTTTACATCTTCTGACCAAAGCATATATGTAGGCACGTAATGTAAGTACAAATATATCCTAAGGAAACAAATCTATAGTATATAAATTAATTAATAATGGGCAATGATAGGGCAAATGAGAATCAATACTATAGACGGTATGCAAATTATACTTTCAATTTAAATTTAGTTTATTAGTAAACAATTCCACACAATATGGAACACAGCACTGATTCTCATTTGCCCATTATTATAATATATTAGAATCTTTTTTGTTAATATATAAATTAATTATAAATTGGAAACGTATCTATATATCTACTAACCAAGTCAGGCAGTGTAATAAGAATATCAGTTTAGAAACTGGTCTTCCAATAGTTTGAAAAATGCATAATAGAATCCGACAAACATTAATTATCACAATATCAATAGTTCTATACAGTAGAAAGATGCTTGTAACTGTACACCACCTATAATTGTAAAATCAATAATATAGTACGATATCAAATTAATAATAAAAATATTCATTGTTAATATGATAAAATTAAATAGTTAAACAAAAAAATTGAAACGAGAAGGTTTAGAGATTTATTGAAACAGTTTTCTCAAAATGAGATTAATGAATAAAGAAAATTAAGCATATAAAAATATGAAGGAAAATATTATGTCCACAATTAAATGATCAATTACGAATAGTTTACTTTTGCTGATACGGATTCAGGACAAAAGACGCAAAGAGCAAATTTGTACAGCCTTTTATCCAAGCACCATAGCACAGTATGTCGATGAAAGCTTGATGAAAATAAAAACTCTTGTGCAGCGCAATCCCTAATTCCCGATAAGTAGTTCCCTGCTCGTGGAGTGTAAAGCTCAGAATCTGTGTGGCCGATGACTTCATGTAACATATACTACCAAAACAGAAACCACAGTTCCATACAGCCTCAATTATCCTATTTCGCTGTACCAATGGAAAGCGCATACGTCTGAACAGTAACTGCATATAACAAAATAAAAGACAAAGCATAAATACACACATATATATATATATATTTCATACGAAGAATTCATAATAGGAATTTAACTTGATTTAATTAAACTTACATTAAGACACTTTTCATACATCAGATACAGCATCACCCAAAATAGTATAAGATATCCCACGAGCACGTCGGTGTCCCGCACCTTCGTATCGTTTGGGTAACGCGCACTGATAGCCTGTTTGTTCCATAAATTTGGAAGAAACGGCAGAAATTTCGTTGGCTCGAACAGAGAATACAGGCCGATTGCCCAGCTACTCGCAGCTTGTTCGTACATATTCTTTATCGTTCAAGACGATATGATAAAGGCAAAACATCTTAACAATTCGAGGTATAAAGCGGGACCGTAGTGGTAGTCCTCAACGTCAAAAGAACACCTGGGTTTATCTCCTATTCCTCCCCGTTATCATACATTTTTGTTATGCATTCGTGGTTTCTAGACAACAGCTGATCGACAAGGAGGCACATTTGAAAAAGGTCCTCCTTTCCTCCCCCCTCTCCCCCACCTTTTTTCTGTAGCCGGCAAACCAATCAACTCCACTCTGCACACTAGCGCCAACTGAAGAAGTGGATGTAAACTATGGCCGCATCTCTAC